ACCCCTTTTTTTTTTTTTCTTTCTCTCTCTCGGTTTGGGTTCTCAAAGAACCCAAAGACCATCTCCTTGCATCTTATCATCATCACAACCTCCACCTCCATCACCATCTTCAATCACCACCGAAATAAAAGGAGAGGGGCAGAACCATAGATCCCTCTATTTTCCATCACCATCGTCACCATCACCACCATCAACATCGTCATCGCCAAGCAACCCCAAAAAAAAAAATAAAAATAATAAAAGGGTGAAGTAGATCTGGTTTCGCGAAAGGAGAAGAGTTCAGCAGAGGAAGATGGAGAAACAAGAAGAAAAAGGGGTATTGAGAGGAAGATAACTTTTAAGGATAAATTTGTAATTTTATTGTTAAAATTATTCGGTTATTAAGGGTGTGCACCCCCCGGATGTTGAACCGGAGGGTGCACAAAGCATTTTCCTTAAATATTTTATGTAATGGAGCACAAATTGTTATGAAACTTGCTAAGGATATCTTTGATGGAAATTCCTTGTCTTCCAATTTCGAATAGTTAAGCAATTATTTCAGAATATTTATATACACTGGGACTCTATGGAGTTTTAAAGTGTTTTTTTTTTTTAATTATAATTTTTGAATTGAAATTTTATGGAGTCAGAATTTGCATGTAAAACTACTCCCTTGTTTTAATTTATTTGATCAAAATATTATAATTTAAAACTACTCATTCCATTTCAATTTAGTGTAGTAGTGCTATAGTGCTATAGTGCTGTCGATGAATGGGATGAATGGGCAGAGTCCTCTTCTTTTTTCTTTTTTTTTTTTGGAGTTGTTGGATACTTGAGGTTGAAAAAGATTGGGATTGGGACTTGGCACTGGAAAGACAAAGTAGAAGACACGAGATTTTTTTTTTTTTCTAAAGAGTTCTGTAGATAATTGTAAATTTTGGGATGAGTTATTTAAAGAATAATAAACAATTAAATTGTTAAAATGGATAATGAATAATATGAATTATATTTGGGTTCATAAAATAGCCCATTATTATTGAATCTTTTTTTATTTTATAAATTTTAACAATTAAAAATATAATATTTAAAATTTTAATAGTAATAATTAATAAATTTTTTTTTTTTTCAAATCCCAGGGGGGGGGCCACCGCCCCCCCTGGTCTACAAGTGGCTCCGCCACTGGTTGGATCCATTTCAGCCAACATAAGGCATGTGACATTAATTAGGTTAAATGCTAAATTTAGTTCCTTAACTTTACAAAATGTACATTTTTGATCCCCAACAATTTTTTACATTTTTTTAATCTCTTAACTCTAAAAATTGCACAGTTTTGGTCCCTTCTTCAATTAAGTATGATGTGGCAATTAAATAATTTCATGTGGCATTGTCTTTTAATTTTTTTGATGATGTG